GCGGCGGCGGAGCAGCACGCGGCCGCGGGCGGCTCTGAAGAGCCCCAGGGAGCCAGCGACGAGGGGACCATGTACCGGGACCCGGAGGCGGCCAGCCCAGGTAAGCGCGGCCCCGCGCGCCTGGGGCGCCCGGCACCGGCGGCAGGACGGCGGCGGCAGCCCCGGCCGCTGCCCGCAGAGCCGTACGGGCTCCCTCCGGGGTCTTTTCCAGCCTCGGGGTGCGGGGCTGGGGCGGCAGCAGCTCGGACCCCGGTCTCCCGCAGTCCGGGCAGTGCCAGGCTGGATGCCCGGCGCCAGCTTCGCAGTGTCCCCGCAAGGACCTCCCCCCCACCCCCAGCAGCCCAAGGGCAACGTGTGTGGCAGAGCGAGGAGCCGCTGCCCCCGCAGGAGCAGGGCAGTGCCTTAGAGGTGCCCCCCGGTTCCCGGGCACTAGTGCCCTGGGGGTGCCAGCGATGGGGGGACCCCAAGGCGAGCTACCCAGGCAGCTTTGGGCCAAGGTTGTGGACACAGGGGAACAGAGTCGCATCAGCGGTGACAACTGTGACTTGAAAGGATGCCAGGGGGCAAGTGGGGAGCCGGTGCAGCAGCCTGCCAGGGGGTCTCCAAGGGAGGAGTCCTCGGGGGGGGGGCAGGGTACTTACAAGGAGGGGGAGCAGAGGGTGATGAGGATGAGAAGGTGAGGGAAGGCGCTCCTAGGTTTGGGGAGGGGGAAGCAAACAACCCCAAACTCACTCCGGTCCTGTAGGAGAGGGGGAGGGGCCACGCGCCCCTCTTTTCTCGCCGCCCGGGAGTGGCCTGGGAGCCCACGTCTGCTCGTCTGCTCAGCAGCCTGGCAGCCAGGAATCGTTCCTCCTTCCTCGGGAAATTGCTCTGCCATTTCCTCCTTGGCTCTCGACGCCTCCTCACCTAGTGCCCACCTGTAGGCAGGTCCCCTGCAGGCTTAAGTCAAAGCTCCCACCTCAGGTGCCCCACCCCGGGCCCAGCCTCCTCGGGCAGCCAGCTCTGGCCTCCGGGTCCCGGCTCTGGGCTTCTCTCTGATGCTGAAAGTGAGACACCCTAACCTGAGGGCCTGCTTCCAGATAAAGAGCTGAGGACCCCTACCCAGAGGGCAGAGAAGCTGGGGGAGGGGACAGCACCTAAGACCTTCCAACAAAGAGACCTGGAGCCCCCCATCCTCTGGAGGGCAGTCTGGTGGGTGCTGGCTTTGTCCCCTCTTGTCTAGCCCCATACTGACTCTCCCCTCTGGGCCGGCCTCCACCTGTCCCTGGCACCATCACAGTCTACTCTTGCACCCCCATCATTCACTTTCAGCCGCCAGAGTTCATTGGGGATGACCTGGAAGCCCAGGAAAGGCTCAGCCCCCTCCCTGGGATCTCAGCTTCCGTGAATGTCCTCTAAGTGCCAGTTGGAGGGCCACTGCCTTTGGAGATGCCATCCCTAATCTGGCTGGGCTCCCGTCATCTCCCCCAAAAAGGCCATCAGCTGCCAGCACTTGAGCCCCTCTCAGATGCCAGTAACTTAGTTCAGAGCCCAGATTCAGGGTGTAAGCATAGGAGAGTGGTGGCGTGAGAATGCACCCCACCTTGTGCCCAGAGGATTGGCAGCCTGTCCCTCCTAGTGGCCTGGGGCCCTGCCCTTGTCCCCTCTCCTTCCCTCCATCCCTTCCCATGTCGAGGCATGTGACATCACCACTCCCCAGAGCACCTATGCTCTCTAGTCGGAGGTCAGCTTGATGGACTTGGCATCTTCTGGGCAGAAGGCCTGGGAGCCCATGGTGCCCTGCCTGGGCCAGCACACAGCCCCTTCCCTCTTTCTTCTGTCAGACCAACCCTCTGTCTGTCTGGGGTGGTGGTGATGCGACTGTCTGACCCAGTCCAAGGGGCAGAGGCAGCTCTGGCAGGGAAGGGGCTGGCCTGAGGTTGGCTTCTCTCTGATTGGGCACCTGACTGACTAGAGTCAGAAACAGATTTCAGTCATAATCCCTTGGGGGTCTCTGAGGGGGTCAGAGCCGTCCATCTGGCCTCTGAATCTCCTGGCATCCCTACGCACCTCCTACAAGCCCTCCAGCTCCAAGCTGGACATCCCCTCCCCTCAGCTCACCCCAAGTTCCCACAGTCCCTTCCATATCTCTGTGTCCCCATTTCTGCCCCCAGTTTGCCTTTGGTTGGCACGAGGTGGGACGGAGCTACGCAGATTAGTTCCTGTATAACTCAGGTCAACCCTTCTTTCCTCTGGTCTCCCAAGGGCCAGTGCCTCTGACTCCCTGCCCACCTCTTCCCACTCGCAGGAACACCTGTGGCCCAGCTCTCCCTCCTTGATCTCCTGCCTTCTGCTCCCCCAATCCCAGGTTGGCTTCAAGGAGTCTCCCGGTCACTCCTCCCCTACCCCACTCACTCTGCAGATGCCGCAGGACACAGCCTGGTGCTGTCACCTCCATGATGAGAGGACGACCGGGGCCCCTGGGCCCAAGTACCACTTCTCTCCTTCATCTGTTACGGATGAAACAAGAGACTGGGGGGGAAAGAAATCCTGAGCCGATGCCGATCACCGGCCCCCTCCCACCATCGCTGTTGGCTCTTGCTCCAAACTCTGCCAGTCTCCCCTGTTCCTTTCCCTGTAGACGCACTGCCCTGTCCCTGTCCTCAGCCTTCCCTCTCTGGTCAGCCTTCAGCTAGCCTGTCTGAGCCTCTCCGTGTCCTGCCACGGGCCTGTCCCGGGCCAGGCAGGGCCTCAGCAGGCCTGCAGGGGTCAGCGTTGCAGTGGGCAGGCAGGACAGCAGGCAGGAGGGAGGAGGGAGAGGTGACCTTGTGGTGAGCTGCCAAGAAGGCCAGCAAGGGACAGGCCTGGCCGGCGCGGGGAGCTCCGGTCCTGATGGCAGTTTCTTGGCTCCTCTGCCCTCGGAGAGGGGTCACAGGTCTTGGGGCCACCGGCTGTCCCACCTGTTAACAGCTCTGCCCCAACAGCACCAAGGCTGGATGGGACACCTCCAGAGTGGGGGGCGAGCAGAAGGCCCGGGGTGTGAAGTCTGGATGGGCGCTGGGGGTTTGCACTCAAAACAAAAGTCTTCGTGAGCTTATGTGGGCCAGACCTCCTTTAACAGGCAGAGCTAGTGGTGTTGTGGGGGCAGGAGGTGAACAGGCAGATCAGGGTTGTGCCCTAAGGGTTGGCAGAGCCGACAGGGTTAGGGACCAGGGCATTGACTTTCATGATCATTTCATTTTGCTGATGCCCACCCCAGGCTACTCTGCTCAGTCCTAGACCCCACTCATCTGACCCTAGGCCCAGCAAGTGGTCTGCCTACAGGCCATGGGAGTGGGCAGGGCAAGCAGTCCACATCGAAGGCTCAGAGGAGTTTGTGGGGAACTTGGGTCCCAGGAGCCAGTGTCCCCAAGCTGTAGTGTTTCCATGGAGATGAGCCCCCTTGGCCCACTTATGCTGTTCAGTGGTCCTGTGGCAACAGCTTGACCGAGGACTCAAGGACCAGGGGATTGTGGGGAGAAAAATGGCCCAAAGCCCCTTCTCCTAGAGGGAAAGGGGACAGAGCGGACTAGCGTGGGGCAGAGTCACACAGGCCAGGTGAGGGGACATCTGGGCAGCAGTCAAACAGGTGGAAGTCAGAGGAGCAAATGCAGGCTGTGACCTAGTAAGGCCTACCCCTGGCTGACTCCAGGCTCAAACCTAAGGGACACTGAGGCCTGGAGAGTGTGCTCAGAGCCTGTCCCCTCGTTCCCTGTCCCCTCGTGCCCTTCAGCCCTGCCGGTGGTGATGAAGGTGGCAAACAAGAGTGGATGCTTCTCTTTTCCCAGTCCCTTTTCTCCCCGCCCCACCCCCACTCCCACCCCCCCCCTATTCTCTTGGGGACTTTGAATCCTTATTGAATCTGATGGACCGTTTTCAATAACTGCTTCCCCCCAGGGGAATGAGGCAAGGAACATCCAGGCGAGGAGCTGGAGAGGGGGCTTCCATGGGCAGTGGGAGGCCCAAGCCTGACTGGGGGCACAGTCAGCTCCTCAGAGGCACCTGGGCATCCCAGGTGGCCATGGTGGCCTGAATGGAGCAGGCCCCTTGTTTCCTGAGCAGTGCCCGACAGGTGGCACATCCAGCCAGGAAGGTCAGCCCTCTCGGTCAGGACGGTCACAGGCCTGGCCAGGTGCCGGAGCTAGCCTGTGCCAGGCCCAGCCCGGGTGCCCGCCTGCCTTGCCAGGCCAGGGAACCCCAGCCGGTGGTGCCAGGTGAACTGTGCCAGTTTCATGGATATAGAGGTCCCTGACCTTACACGAGTTTGGGGCAGCCCGGCTGGGCCCTGGCCAACTTCTATCTGGAGGGCAGGACTCTGGTCTCACCCAGCAGATTCCCCAAGAGTTGGAACCAAGTTGGCAGACAGCACGGGACCTGGCAAAGGGGCTGGACAGCGCCCAGAGCCTCCGCCTGGAATTCTGGACCCAGCTGGTGGGAAGGCGGGCTGGCGCCTTGGGTCTGCTCTGGAGGGGGGGCTCCACAGCTTCCATCAGGAAGGGTCCCTTGGGAGAGATGTGTTGGGAGCTGCCTGGTGTGGTGGGCTGGGATGCTTGGAGATGGATAACTTCACGTGATTGGATGTGTGGGGCTGCAGCGCAGCGTCCCTGGGAGGGTGGGGCCGCAGGGAGAAGCGCTGCGCTCAGGTGTGGATGTGGGTACACCTACGTGTGCACGCGGGGCGGGGAGGGCGCGCGGGGCGGGCAGCATCTGGACAGCTGTAATAGCTGCACTCATCTGAGTGCCTCGCCCGCAGTAAACAGCAGCTAATGAGTGTATTTGTAGCGAGGTGCGTCGAGGTGCGTGGGGAGCAGTGACAGTAAGTGCTGGGGGAGGGTGCCTCCCTTGGCCCCGTCCCCAGCCAGGCAAGACCTGTGCCCTCTGGGGACCCTGCTCGCCCCCTGCCACGCCTCCCCACCTGCTGCCTCTGAAGCCTTGGTCTGCTGGGAGCCTGGGCTCACCTGGCGGTGAGGCTGCCGTGGCCGTGAACGCAGATCGCAGCATTCTCATGACGGTGTGTGTGAGTGCGTGCGAGCCTGTTCGTCTGCCTGGGCTTGTCTGTGTGTGGCTGCGTCTGATGGCTCT